CCTCCCTCCCTCCCTCCCTCCCTCCCTCCCTCCCTCCCTCCCTCTCTCCCTCCCTCCCTCCCTCCCTCCCTCCCTCCCTCCCTCCCTCCCTCCCTCCCTCCCTCCCTCCCTCCCTCCCTCCCTCCCTCCCACCCACCCACCCTTCCTCCCCCACTCTCCTTCTTTCATGCAGCATCGTGCAGCCTTCAGCAGCAGCAGCAGCCAGCCCACGGCCATAGACATGGCGTGGCCAGCTAGCCTGCAGAAGGCGCGGTCGTGGGATGATGGCGTGGCTACCAACTTCGCCACCTCCTCCCTTGCTGACGTCTTCAAGGTCCGTTCCGTGGCTAGTTCTGAGTCGAACCAATACTCAACTGCTCCCTTGCTGGCGTCTTCAAGGTCCGTTCCTTGACTTCGTTTTTCACTTCGTCCATCACCTTCCTTGCCCCCTTCCCCCCCTTCTCCCCCTTCTCCCCTTTCCTTCCCCGCCTCGCTCTCCCATCTCCCTCCCCCTCCTACGTGGCCGTTTCAATGTCATTGGTTCGTTTCCCTCAATTGTTATTTTTATGGCTGCTACTCGTCGCATTTGATCCTGACCTTTTCAATATTTTGCAACTGTCTGGTAGATAGAAATGGGTCTCTGAAAAACGGGTTTTTGAAGGGGGTGCAGAGAAGGGCGAGCTTTAAGACGGGTGGCTTGAATGCGGTGGTTGGGAGGGAATCTGGTTAAAATACGTGGGACGATAAAAAGTGCTCGTCTCTAACTTAAGGTTTTTGCTTCGTTTGTGCGTGCTCATTTCTGACCCATGCTGCCAAATCAGGGCCGCAAGGTGGTGATCTTCGGTGTGCCCGTAAGTTCTCTCTTCCCCAGCTCCGTTTATTTCAGTTTTCCATCTCCAAATTTTTCCCCTGACTTGCGTGGTGCTGTCTTCTGCTTGTCTTCCTCTTTCTATAAAGCCTAGATTTTAAGCTACAACCCTTACCCTCTCATCAGGACATTATCACGACCCATTTCTCCAACCCATGACTCGGGCCACCCCCCTGCTTGCTCCCCCAGGGTGCGTTCACAGGAGTGTGCTCCAAGGCGCACGTGCCTGGGTACCTGGCAGCGCTGCCTGAGCTGAAGGCCAAGGGCGTGGATGCGGTGCTCTGCACGGCGGTCAATGACCCCTACACGCTGCACGCCTGGGCCAACCAGCTGCAGGCACATGACAAGGTCTGCGCTTTTTTCACATGCAACTTTCAATTCAGCCCTTCTTTTCTGTTAACCAACGCTGAAGTACGCACAGCTTTGGCCAATTCCAATCCAAGCTAACTTCTCATCCGGTAACGCTCCTTTCTTTGATTGTTTATTTTTTGCCAGATTGACTTCTATGCTGATTTTGATGGTTCTTTCCATCGCCATTTGGGCCTTCAGTTTGACTGCTCAGGAGCACTTTTGGGGATGCGCTCGAACCGGTATGTACAACTGCTTCCGTGTCATCCCCTTCTGCGGAACTTCTAGGTCTGCATGTGTGGCTGTGACAACCAATTGGGTTTGCTGCATGCACACAGTCCTTTTGCACACTTTTCACATCCCTGCTTTTGCATTCAGGTGGGCTGCGGTGGTGGAAAACGGTGTAATCAAGACCCTTAAAGTTGAGGAAAGTCCAGGGGAATTGCAGGTCAGCAGGGCTGAGGACATACTTACATCACTTAAGTAATTACTGCACTCACAGGTAATCAGCTCAGGAGTTTTTGGAGCAAATTTTATCCAGTACATCTTCTGAAGTAGATTAAGTATTTATTCGTTAAAACCAGAGTGCACCTTCAACGTAGTAGCTATTTTTGGCAAAATCGATCAGGTTTGGGAAATTGAAATTGCCTGCGCAGAAGTTTGAGATGGGACAGATTAAATGGCTGTGTCCCGTGCTGTGGTGTGGGTTGCTGTGGTGTTTTGGTCCTTATGTGTTTCCTTCTTTTAGCTTCCTCTATTCTTTTCCTCTTTCCACCTTTCCTTTGGCCCTTCTCTTCATATCCAACTCTTCTCCTTATCACCCTTTCTTTGTTCCACCATTTCTACCTTCCTCTTTTATCCCTTATCTTAATTATAACGACTTGGTATCAACTTTTATCCATAATAATTAGGACAACACTCACAAGCTGGCAACGAGGCTGGAGTGACAACAAAGGCGCAACCAAGAAATGTACATGACAGGAAAACTCTGCACTTTTTTCAGAACGATATGAAGACATGAAAATGTGTGACAATCAGAATGTGGAAGTGGTCTTGGCTGTGTGGTTCGGATTACGTAGACGAGCTTATTTAACATGTTCTGTTTCACATCTACTTCACATACGACATAGAAGTTCAATAATCTGGGAATAAAGCACAAACTACGTTCACAAAAAAGGATGTCCATTCTACAACCTACATGTCCCACTCAGCATACACTAATGACCACAATGGAATCCACCTGGAAACCTCTTAGAAGCACTTCCTGTGCACAATAGAGGGACCCGACTCGTCATACTCGCTCTTAGCGATCCACATCTGCAATGACGAACAAACAAAAAGTTGGTTAGGTGAACGTGATAACTGGGTGTGAAATCTGAGGAAGGTAGGGCAACGAGTGCCATATCAGAAAAAGGCTTTTTACCTGCTGGAAGGTAGACAGGGAGGCGAGAATGGAGCCACCGATCCAGACACTGTACTTGCGCTCAGGAGGGGCAACGACCTTGATCTTCATGGTGCTGGGAGCAAGCGCGGTGATTTCTTTCGTCATGCGGTCAGCAATGCCAGGGAACATGGTGGTACCACCGGAGAGCACGATGTTGCCGTACAGGTCCTTTCGGATGTCGACATCACACTTCATGATGCAGTTGTAGCATGTCTCATGAATGCCAGAAGCTTCCTTACCAACCAGAGACGGGTTGAACAGCACCTCAGGGCACCTAAACCTCTCAGAGCCGAGAGTAATCATCTGACCATCGGGAAGCTCGTAGCTCTTTTCGAGGGAAGAAGAGCTTTGAGCAGTCGCCATTTCAGCCTCAAAATCAATGGCCACATATGCAAGCTTCTCCTTAATGTCACGGACAATTTCTCTCTCTGCGGAGGTGGTGAAAGAGTAGCCCCTCTCCGTCAGGATGGTAACCAGATACTCCGTGAGGTCACGGCCAGCAAGATCCAGACGAAGGATGGCGTGAGGGAGAGCGTAACCCTCATAGATAGGGACAGTGTGGGACACACCATCACCAGAGTCGAGAACAATACCTGTGGACAGAAAAACATTGATTGCTTAGTCTTTGTCCCATAATGCAGCAGATCACAGAATAGAATTCAACACAAAATTCAGCTAACTTACCGGTGGTACGACCGGAGGCGTAGAGTGACAGCACGGCCTGAATGGCGACGTACATAGCAGGGACATTGAATGTCTCGAACATGATCTGGGTCATCTTCTCGCGATTAGCCTTGGGGTTAAGAGGGGCCTCGGTAAGCAACACAGGGTGCTCCTCAGGAGCCACACGAAGCTCGTTGTAGAAGGTGTGGTGCCAAATCTTCTCCATATCATCCCAGTTGGTGACGATACCTGGAAAAGAGAAGACACGTCAATGTGGTTGCTGGTAGATTACAGTTAGAGCATAAAAAGGGTGGTGTTGGATTTACCGTGCTCGATAGGGTACTTCAGGGTCAGGATTCCTCGCTTGGACTGCGCCTCATCACCCACATAAGCATCCTTCTGTCCCATTCCAACCATAACTCCCTGGTGACGAGGACGGCCAACAATGCTCGGGAACACCGCACGGGGAGCATCATCTCCAGCGAATCCAGCCTGCAGAGTAGAAAACATATTATGCAACATTAAAAATAGACCGCAAAGTTAACGATCAAATATTTTTGTAAACTAGCCAAGATCGACTCACCTTCACCATACCAGACCCATTGTCGCACACGAGAGCAGAGATATCCCCCTGATCGTCAGCCATTGTAGTAGTTTAAACTGGAAAAGTAGGAAGCGATGAAAATGTGTCAAAAAGACGTCATTGATTCCACCGATTACAGTAGAATCAGAAACCTGAAATTCTACTATTAGAGGGATCCAAGTGGAATTCCAGAATAGGGGCTCACCTAGGAAAATGGCAGACGAAGTGGGAGATCTGAGTCTGGGACTGAACTGGAAGTGAGTGAATGAGAGCAAGGACGGCCAAAAATAATGGAGTGATGGGAGGATAAAAGCGTAGGCCAAGGAGGTATGAGTCCCACTCACATAGGCCCAACCCCAGAAATTTCGGCCAACAAATGAGAGCAATCTTTCCACGTTATCCCTCCAACCGGGCACGTTATCAGAACCAAAGCGTACGTGCCTGGGCATCGCACCTTCCTACTGGTTTGGTCCACCAAAACTGCCCCGAAAAAATGGTTCGTCAACGTAAGCTCCGCCTGAGGCACATTCATGCGCGCTTGGGCTGGCTCGGACCCAGCCATTGTGGCATGGGGACCCCCTCGAACCATACATACCATCACTCACCAACCTAATCTTGAATCAACGACTGCCACACATCCCGAGGATACCTTCGAGAAGGGTGCGGGCAAAAACTTCAGCGCAGCGATATGTTTTTCTGTACATGTTGCTGTTTCTTTCAGCAGAACACAAGTCCAAATAGTTTTTCAGAATTTGGCCCAACAAATCCATTATTATGGGAACCTGCAATTCATGGTTGAATTGCAATTCATGTATACTTCTTAGGCTGATTTCTCTTATTTAAATGGTTTTTTCGTGTAGCAGGTATGGTTCGTTCGAGGAGTACGGTACACTGGACCTAAACCTGCAATGATGTATGGTAGAGGCTGGAACAGATTCTCCTATAGCCTCCCTCAATTAGCTACTATGCTGCTCCTGACCTGAGTCCCCAGCCATCTCTTCCACTGATATTTCAGATTCCAGTCGTGTACTAAGGCTGCTGAATCAGCCACCCTCGAAAGCAATATGTCGGCATGGTATCGTCTTAATCACTAATTTATTTGATGGCATACGGTTTCATGGGAGTGCGGTGCCTCTATTGATGGCCACAGCAACCTCTGATGTTGCTGTGTTGTCCGCATACCGCTTGTAAATCTCCCTCAGCCTATCACGGTCCGCCAGGGTGGCACGCACGCTTGGGTGAGCTCCAATCGCCGTCTCCCACATGAGAAAACGACGGAGTGCCGGAGAGGATCCGTCGTGCGAGGGAAGGGAGAAGTTGCGGTAGAATTGGAGGATGTCGTGGCGTAGCACCCAGGGTGCGAGTGAGATGTCCTGCCACATGTCATGCACATGTGTGTCCATCCAGGCGTGCACGGGATAGGTGCATGGAATATCGCAACCAGAACATGGGGGTTAGGGTTAAAAACGGAAGAAGGTAAGTGCGAAATGTGCGTGGACATGAGAGGAGTTGTGGTAAAACTGGAGGATGTGGTGACGTAGCACCCAGGGGGCCCGGCATGCATGGGATGGGATGTATAGCAAGGAGACAAAGGGGGTGGAAAAGAACGAAGGCGGGGGTGGAAAAGGACGAAGGTTGGTGTGTGATATACCTGGGCATGGCAAGTGGATGGGAAGGGAAGGTAAGATTGATGGTAGGAATGTGTTTGACAGGTCAGGGCAGGGCAGGTCTATGATCTCGATGGTAAGGAGAGGGCAAGTGTGCGAGGGTGACAGTGGAAAGGAGCTTACTGGAGTTGCTTGAACAGGGGATGGATGAGTGGTAGCAAGTGCATTCAGAAATAGGGAACATTGATAGGAGGATAAACAAGGCACACCGTCCTGGATGGCAATAGCAGAGGCAAGGACAAGGAAAAGGCAAAGGCAAGCATGAGCGAGGGATAGGCAAGAGAGAGCACCATGAGGGAGAATCGTTGGCCAAGAAAGAAAGGCCCTTCTGGACTGATGGAATCCATGGCCGCTCCTAGCTGCTCATAGTAGCTGATTACCGCTGCCCTCTCTGCCTCCTGCTCCTCCCGGCTCTGCTTCTGGAGATAGCTGGAGCGTGGGAGCGGTCAGGGAGCGGGAAGAATGGGAGAATAGGGGAGAGAGGAGGAGGAGGTAGAGTCGGGCACAGACTGGTGGAGGAAGATGACATTTGTGCGTTTGGTTTTCTGAGACGTCTCAAAAACACCCTCATTTCACGATTGGTGGAGAGAGATGACATCTGCGCGTTTGTTTTTCATGCTTGTTTGTTGGTGCTAGCCAACTCAAAGTCTGTGTTGACTGCATGCTGTTACTTGAGTGCTCAGCATGAGTAGTCAGCGTGTGGACTGGAGCAAAATGACCGAGAGCAGGAGTGGGCTAGGGAGGGAGGGAGAGTAAAAAGAGAAAAGAAGAGAAGAAAAGAAAAGTGGCTTGAAAATCAAGCAGGGAAAGTAGAGCAGGGGAAAATCATAGAGGGAGAATAAAGCAGGGGAAATCAAACAGGGACACTGAGGTAGGGAAAGGATGTAACGGATGGCACTCACGTTCTTGAGGCATCTCGAAAAGCGGTTGGTGGTGCTCACCGGTAGAAGGTGGGAACAATCTTGCGATTGACAAAGTCCATCCACATGCGCACTTGCGCCCTCTCATACGCATCCCATGGCATCAGATGCATACCCGTGCTCCCTGCAGCAGCAGCAGCACTACTACCGCTACCAGCGCCACTGCCAGCGGCAGCAGAAGAAGCAAGAGGCGAGGGTGGGAAGGCCTCGTCAATGTATTCCATGATCACACTCGACTCGTACAGGCACCGCGTCTTCTGCTGTTCGCCCTGCTGCTGCTGCTCTCCTTGCTGCTCGCCGTGTTGTGTGATGTGCAGCAAAGCAGGCACGAGGCCACGTGGGTTCACGGCCATGAGCTCTGCTGGCTTGGCGTATGGATCCACCTCCACGTACTGGGGGAGGGGGCGAGGGGGGAGGAGGAGGAGGGGGGGGTGAGGGATCGGGCGCAATCGATGACTCTTAAGGTCCGTTATGACTTTCGAGTCGACTCAAAGGTCAACACGAGGTCACGGCCCTGAGCGCCGCTGGCTTGGAGTATGGATCCACCTGCACGTAGTGGTGTAGGGGGGAAAGGGTGGGAGGGTGGGAAGTGGGGAGGGTGGGAGGGGGAGGAGTGAAGCAGTGCTATGGGCGACTCGTGTGAAATCCGTGATGGCTTTTAAGTCGACTCAAAAGTCAACGCGGGTTCACTTCACAGCCACGAGCTCTGCAGGCTTGGCGTATGGATCCACCTCCACGTACTCCACGAGTCAAGCAAAGAGACACAACCGAAGAGTCAACCCAGCAGCCAACCCAAGAACAGATTCACGAGCGACCCAAGAGGGGATTCACGAGCTACCCAACAGGGGATTCACGAGTCCTGGCTTACTTGGCGCTATTTGTACAACCCCGAGCCAGCTGATTCCCTCGCACCTCGTACCTCGCACCCCCGCGCACCTCGTACTTGACGCCCTTGGCCTCCAGCGCGATCCACGCGCGCTGCGCGAACGGGCAGAACCACGCGCTGAACAGACGAACCGTGTCGCCCTCGGCACTCGCCGCGCCGGTTTCGCGCTGCGACGACAAGGCTGCCATGGCTTCCGACGCTGATCCCCCGTTCAATGATTTCCGAGAATCCAAAGAAATCCGAACCAGCTTTCCGCACTGCTCCCACTCGTAACCTTACGGAGAGGGGTTAATCCTGTGTTACACGGGCCGCACCGAGCTAGCAACGAGGCTTTGATTGCTCCACCAATAGCGCCCGGCAGGCCTCGACTGAAACGTGCAAGCGATTATGTCCGCTTGCTCTGGCTGGGCTGGCGACACAAGTCGCGCCAAGACGGTTACACGGGGCGCGCGTTCCTGCTGCTTGCTGCGCCCACACCGCACAGCTTTCTCGCGGTCACGACACGACGAATCAGCTGCGCGAATGCATTTAGACGGACTCAGCAGGGTAAGAGCACGCTGAATTTCACGCAGGCGAATACCGCACGTGGCGTGTATGGGGAGGGACGCACAACTGGACTGAAAAGTGGGGAAAGTATGTGCTGGCTACCCAAACAGTGCCGTGACCCGAAGTGAAGATACGCCCTCAAACAATTTCACATTTCATCCTGGGTTTGACTTGGGAAATGATAAAACTGGGGCCGAAGAGTGACAGAGGGATGACCAAAGTAGGGCCAGAAAATCTCGAAGACAAGAGGCTAGGCGAACAAGCCGAACCTTGACTGAAAGAGAAATGCTATCAGCACCAAACTTCGTCTCCGACTTATTGAAATAATGGTTACGATCGCCGTCTACTACTACGGACACATCGCGTTCTTCTGGAAGTAAATATTGCTGCGTTAAATTGTGTCCAAAAGAAAAATCATTATTGGTGATAAATGTCACTCTGTTACGGGTGCAATGAATCGAGGTAGCGAGAATTGCACTAAGATGTCAAACGAGTACAAAATGTGAGCGAAGGCATGAGCGAACATTTATACGCGAAACATGCAAAACGGTAACGCGGTGCGTGCGAGCTTGCTAGTGCTACGCTGGAGCGAGGCTCGGGCTAGTCCCGAAGCGTAGGCCGATACGGCCATGCCAGCAGTGCGAGGTTTGGCAAAACAGTGCGCGCGAAGTCGGCGAAGTTCCGTTAGCAGTAACGGGCGAACAATCGGCTGTTGCTGTACGCGATGTAGTCGGCCCCGTAAGGAATGCCGAGAAAATTCCTTACACTACCCCCCCCCCCCCCTTAAGAAGCCCCCTCCGCTACGCGAGTGCGTGTATATCGCGGAATCCCCGGCTCCTCACGTACACTTGCAGGGCAGGGTGATTTTCGATGTTGCTCAGGGGCACCCAGCTATCTTCAGTTGGCGTGCGGTCTTTCCAGCGAACGAGGAATTCAATCCTCCTGATTCCCGTGGGGTGGCGGATCCGATGGCTCAGAATTTTGTCGGGCTCGATGATCGGCTCTGATGCAGGGCGAGTCGTTGATTGTGGCCGGTGACGCGGCAGTTGACTTGTGGTCGGGATGTATGGGCGAAGTAGGCTGACGTGGAACGAAGGGCTGATGTACCAGTCGGTTGGCAACAGTAGGTGCGCGGTCACGGGTGTGATCATGTGACTGATTTGGAATGGTCCACAGTAGCGCGGTCGTAATTTTGGTACGTCGGGCAGTCGCAGATTTTGCGTGTCGAGCAGCACGTTGTGAAACAAGTGAACAGGAATGAAATGACTAAGTCAGAGTTGGGTACAAATACAACCCTAGAAAGCTATACCCCATATGTGCTACCCCACTATAGCCTACAAACATGCATCAGCTATAATACTCTGACACACCCCCATAGGCTAAGTGGGGGAGAACAAGGGGTCACAAGACCAGTCAAGCAAAGCAAAGCAAAGCAAGCTCAGGGTGGATCACAAAGTCACCACACAGTCCAAGCACAAGAGCAGGGCCAGAGGCCAGTTCACATGTAGGAGTACAGACATATATATAAAACTAGACAAGCAAGAGCAGGTATATATATATGTCACAGTACAAGTGAAGTCAAGAGGAGAGCAAGTGAGGCAAGACAGGTACAAGACCCAGCTGGGTGCAAAAGCGCTGATGGTCACAAGGCGCGAGTGCCTTGGTGAACACATCAGCAGTGTTGGCCTCAGAGGCCACGTACGCAAGTCGCAACTGACCACGCTGCTGCAGCTCACGAGCAACGAAGTAGCGGAGAGCAATGTGCTTCGTTCTGTGCTCCAAGCGCTGCTCTCGACACAAGGCCAGCATGGCCTTGTTGTGTACGTACAGCACTAGAGGAGAACGAGGCGGCTCTCCAACGTCAGTCAGCAGGTAGGTGAGCCAGCGAAGCTCCTGTGCAGCCATGGCCCCGGCGTAGATCTCAGCCTCACAACTGGAGCCGAGAACCGAAGACGAGCGAGTAGACCGCCACGAGACAGAGCCGGAACCAAGGCTGAAGGTGTAACCCTGTGACGACCGCTGCGTAGCCTGGTCGTCAGCCCAAGAAGCGTCCGCGTGGCCGTTAAGGACCACTCGACTCCGCCCTCCAAGCACTAGCCCCATGCCCGACGTACTGCACAGGTAGCGCAATACCCTCTTCGCTGCAGCCATGTGCTCCGGTCTGTGTCTCCCAGGAGCAACATAGCGTGCAAGAATGCTCAGAGGGTATGCAAGGTCAGGTCGTGTGCAGGTCATCAGGTACATGAGGCAGCCAACAAGCTCTGCATACGGACCACTCGACTCTACGGACTCATCCGAAGGCAGAGCTGAGAGTGAGTGGCGAGTAGGCAGAGGAGTGGCCTGAGGCGAGGAGTACGTGAAGCCGAAGCGCTGAAGGACCTGCTGCACCATGTGTGACTGAGTCAAGGTAATGGTGCGGCGTGCTCTGTCCCGAGTGATCTGCAAGCCAAGGTAGCTGCGCAGTTCACCCAGGTCTGTGCACGTGTGTCTCTTCAGCAGCTCGGACTTCACGTAGGCGAGTCCAGTAGTGTTCGCTGTGGCAAAGACCAAGTCGTCGACGTACACGAGGATGTAGAACGGCGGCAGGGAAGTGTCGGTGCGAAGAAACAGCGACGGGTCAGCAGTAGAAGGAGCAAACCCAAGAGCCGCAAGCGTAGTCCTCAGTGTGTCGTGCCACTCACGCGGTGCCTGGCGGAGACCGTAGACTGGCCGTCGGAGGCTCCACTGGGTGCCAGGAGGGAAAGTCCCAGTGAAGCCAGGTGGACGGCGAAGCCAGATCTCCTCGTGCAGGCTACCCTGCAAGAACGCAGTGCTGAAGTCGAGAGAGTGAAGCTCGTAGTCGCGCTGAGCGGCTATGTGCAACAGCACCCGAAGAGTAGTCATCTTCGGGGTGGGAGAGAAGGTCTGAAAGTAGTCAACTCCCTGCCGCTGACTGAAGCCACGAGCAACGTACCGTGCCTTGAAGACAGGTGGAGAGCCCGGCGGCCGCTTCACCCTGAAGATCCACATGCCACTGACGATGTTCGCCCCAGGAGGGGGAACCGCGTCAACGTAGGTGCCTGTGGACTTCCAGGAAGCCATCTCTGCATCCATAGCTGCCTGCCACTGAGAGGAGTAGGGACCCTCTACGGCCTCCGCGTAAGAACGCGGAGTCGGGATGTCTAGTGCATCCGGGTCTCCCTCAGGGGCAAGTAGTACAGACCCTTTGATGAGGTGAAGCAGCCGCTAGACACTGTAACTCCTCCTGCCTGTCCTCTAGGACGTCCGTGCCAAGAGCACACTCACCCCCGACGGACGGAGGACAGACAGACGCAGACTCAGCAACAAGACTAGCAGCGTAGTCGAGACGACAGCGAGCAGCAAAGTCGACGAGCTCAGCGACTAGAGCAGACGCAGCAGTGGACTCAAAAGAGGGGTCAGTGACGACAGTAGCAAGCAGACGCGTGACAGTAGGACTGGCAGCACGAAGAGAGTCCGACTCAGGGTCGGCAAGCGCAGGAAGAGAGGACTCAGGAGGAGAAGGCAAAGGGGCACGCAGAGGAGCAGTGGACGGACGCAAAGACATCCGGTGCATATCAGGGACCGGAGGAGGACGCTGACGCGAACGGCGACCACTAGCGCGAGCAGCACGAACAGGCGACGCGGGACGAGACGCAGGCTCACGACGCTCAGCAAGACCTCCAGTAGGACCAGTGTAAGGAGAGGGAGCAGGCAGTGGAGAGGAAGGCTCCAGCAGGGACTGCGACTGGACAGGCGGTGAACCCTCTACTAGAGGAGAAAGACCAAGAACCTGCTGCAGGAGCGGAACGAAGTACGGCCGAGGCCGCGCGGCAGCTCCAGACTCAGCAGGGACAGCACCACCACCCTCAGCGACAGCACCAGCGCCACCCACACCTCCAGCGGCAGGACCAACAGCAGTAGGCTCAGCACCAACGCCCTCAGCAGCTCCAGCTCCAGGAGGACCCGCAGGTCCAGCAGCTCCGGGACCGGCAGCACCCGCACCCTCGACGGTCGAAGAAGCTCCAGCTCCAGCTCCAGCAGCACCTCCAGACTCAGCAGCACGCCTCCAGCGGCGAGCGAACCACTCGCGCAGCTCCTGTGGAGAGAGGGGCTCCCGGCGAGACGCAGCAGCAGGAGAAACCCCAGGCTCAGCAGCTCCAGACGCAGCACCCCCAAGCTCAGCAGCTCCCAGCTCAGCACCCCCAGGCTCAGCAGCTCCCGACCCAGCACCCCCAGACCCAGCACCTCCAGGCACAGCACCCCCCGGCTCAGCACCCCCAGGCTCCGCACCCTCCGCAGTAGCACCCTCAGGCCCAGCACCCCCAGCAGTAGCACCCCCAGGCTCAGCACCCCTGCGCACAGCACCCCCAGAGTCAGCACCCCCAGGCTCAGCACCCGCAGCAGCACCAGAGTCACCAGTAACCTCGACCGGGTCAACGGCGTCTACCTGGGACACACCTGAGGGGGCAGGAACCTGAGGGGGGAGGGGGTCTACCGGGGGGGGAACCGGCACAAGGAAGTCCGGGGGAGGGGGGAGGGAAGGAGTGCGGTAGGGGAAGAGACGGTAGAAGGGGACTGACTCGTCGAACGTGACGTCCTGGGAGGACAGAACACGACGAGAGGAGGGGTGGTAAAACTGCCA